GGGTACACAGTTCTTTTTAAGATAGCCTTCAAAAAACCATATTGTCTGGAGAGAAGAAACTCTGTTAATAAAATTAAGAAACAATGATAAACTATATTTTGCGAGTACAGGATAAGGGAAAAACAAAAAGTATTTTTCTTGTCTTCTTTCTATTTGAGAATGAAACAGGATATAAAATTTACATTGTCTTTAATTTTCAAAGTTCTTACAAATTAATAATTAAGCAATAGATCAAAAAATAGTAATTTTACATTAATGTCACAGAAATAATTCCAATAAATGGAGCATAGAGCAAACTCAATTATTTACTCTAACCCTTCCTATTCAACTAACAAGAATAAACATTTCTTCCCTGATTTAATTTATGTGTACTCATTAAGTTTTATTTAATTATCTTAAGTTTCCCTCTACTATTCTTATTCCTACAGAACAACTACCCCACTCCTCAAAATATAATTTTTCTGCATGTGTCACCTTTTTTCTTCTCATTTTAACAGCAAGCCTTCCATAACAAATTGTCAACATTCACTTTCTCCTTAGCAAAGCAAAACCACTCCCTGTAGTTTGTCTTTCTTACCCACTACCTGGTACACTTTTGGTAATTTCATCATTGCCTTCCACATTAAATTGAATAGGTCATTCTCCATTCTCATCTAACATTATCTCTCAGATATGTTGAATATAATTCAATTATTCTTGTTATCCTGAAATAATCTTTTGACATCAGAAGCACTAAAAATTTCATGTTTTTCTCCACTTTGCTGAACACTCTTCACAACCACCAGTATTATGGGATGATATTCAACATCTTTACCTTGCTCTTGATGTTAATAGAATGGAGTCTGAACACTCTGTTGAGTATGATATAAATTGGTCGGTTTGTTGTTTTTGTTTTTATTTTACATCACCACATCGATCACTACATAAATGGTTTTTTTTTATGTATCTTTTATTAAGTCAAAAAATTTTCTTCATTTATTGTTTTGTTTAATTGTTTTAGAATTATATAAGATCATTTTCCATAATTTCTACAAATATGATAAGTACATGACCTTTGTTTCTTTTTTAATGCCATAAAAAAGACTTTAGGTGGTAAACACACAATAGAATATACAGATGTCAAATTATAACGTACACGCGAAAATTATATAATTCTGTTAACCAATGTTACCCCAATAAACTTAAAAAAAGGTATATACCTGGTGAATCAAATCATATATGATCATCGAGATAAACATTCCTTGATTGTTATTTAGTTTGATACACCGTTATTGTTAACTAATCTTTTATTTATAATTTTTGTCATAAATGCATGAAAAAATTGTATCTGTAATTTTGTCCCTTTTTACTACTTACCATGCTACCTTTGAAATTAACATTAAAAGTACTTTGCAAAATGAATTGTGCATCCTTTCTTTGGGTAATTTTCTGGTATAGTTTGTATAATTCAAGTATAATCTGTTTCTTGATATTTGCTCTTGTCTTGCAAAGAGAATCAATATGAGCCTATTGTTTTTGACAGTACATTTTCTCATTGGGGGAATGAAGTGAGTTGGAGGGGTTTGAATGTGATGATAATTTCTTTAATAATTTTTCCCTATTTATATTTTTAGTTATTTTGAGGGGTTTTTTTTGTTTTCAAATTTGTTCGCGTATAGTTTTATAATGCAAAAAATATTTTAAACTTAGTGCATACTATTTATTTCTTGTGTTTTTGGATGGTCCAAATTTGGTTTATTTGCATCTTATTTCTAACTTTTTTCCTTAACCAGATTTGTATGAAATGTATCCTGCTTACCCTCCAAGCCCTTCTCGAAATTTATGTCTTCTGAGAACCATTTTTCTCATTTATCATATGTAACTAATTTTTTGCTTTTACATGCCCTTTTATAATACAGAAATGCATATTATATATATAAAATCACATTATATCATATTACATCATATATCACTTCATATCATCTCATCTCTTCTCATATCATATCATATTAATGTGACTTCCACCTTAGATAGGTAATAATTTCCTCAAACTCAAGATCTTTGGTTCATTGTTCAAAATTTCTAGCAAATGAAAATGTCTAAATATTATTAAAATCACAACATATTTAAATGTGTGTATTTTTGTGAGAAAATGAATGGATCTTTTATCATTACCATTTATATGTGAGAAAAACTAATCGAAGGCCTATATAGTCAAAGTATCAGATATTTGACTAGACACTCAAGACATAAATTTGAATATGGTGAACTTTTGTTCTCAGAAATTTTACAACTGAAAAGAGGCTGTGGTGATGTGAAAGGATTTAGTGATTACCAGAGGAAAAGCGGGGAAGATGGAGGTAGATAAGGGTAAAGGGGGTCAAATATATGGTGACAGAAGATTTGACTTTGGGTGGTGAACACACAGTGCAGTATACAGATGATGTGCTATTGAATGTACACTTGATACCTATATAATTTTATTAACCAATGTCACCTCAATACATTTAATTTAAATAGAATAAAAATAAATAATAATGAAATAAATAAAAATTCAGTAATACTAGTATAGAGCAAACTCAATTATTTATTCCCAAACTGATTTTGTTGGCAGTGTGGGAAATATGCTCTTAGATAAAGAAAAGTTTGGTTAATCAATGAAATTTGGAATAAGCCTCAAACAAGGGTGAGATTTGACTAACACTGCTTATAATCTAATATTGAGTTTGCTGTTGGTATAGCTAGGATGAATGGGAAATAGTGAGTGCATGAATTACAAGTTCAGCTCTACCACAACTAACTGTGTGATGTCAGGAAGGTTTCTTACCATTTATGCGCATCAGGTTCCTCACTTGTAAGGTGGAAAATAGTGGTACCTAACTCAATGGAGTTTACTATGAGGATTATTTTTAAAATATATGTAACATACTTAGAATAATTTATGGCATATAAACAGTACCATATAAGAGTTTGCCATTTTTATTGTGAAATAAAGTAATTCTGAATCTATCTTGCATGATACAAAAGTCGTCTGTCAGTTATGGGAAATAGCTTGGGAAGTCATGTTGTAGACACTGTGCTATTAAAATATGCATATTATTGAAATGAAATATTATCAAATCATGTGCTTTTCTTAGTTGTGTATGTTTGCATGAGATGGGTTGGAGGATAGAACTGAGTTAATTGATTGAACTGTTCCTGAAGATTATTCCTAAAGTTACCCAGAGAGAATCAAACTACTCAGCAGCTTATTAGAGAGCTAAGAGTATAGTCTTCCCTTCCTTTATGTAATGGAGCTCAGCCAAGTACAACACAATGCAGCAACTCCAAGTCTCTATTTTCTGGTGGTTTATCAATCACTTAATATGATTTGATATCTAAAGCTTACCAACCCCACTATTTTCAGAGTTCATTCTCTTACTCAAAATTAGACAAGTCCTAGAGAGACAAATTGAGAGAAATAGTCTTCTTCAATTTCTGTGTGTATAAAATTTTTTAAATATAGGGAGATAGAGATCTTATATTCTGCTTTTTCTTTAAAAAAAAACTTCCAAAAGGCTTATTTTAATTAATTTATTTTAATTACAGTTGATGTACAATATTATTTTATATTAGTTTCAGGTATACAGCATAGTGGTTAGACATTTATCTACTTTATGAAGTAATCTCCCCAATTAATCTAGTACCCATCTGGCACTACACATAGTTATTACAATATTATTGACTATGCAGTACTTTAAATATTTTCTATGCAGTACTTTAAATCCCCTTGACTCTTTCATAACTACCAATTTATACTTCTTAATTCCTTCACCTTTTTCACTCTATCCCCAAGCCCTCTCCCATCCAGCAACCAACAGTTTGTTTTCTGTATCTATGAGTCTGTTTCTGTTTTGTTTGTTTGTTCGTTTGTGTGTTTGTTCTTTAGATTCCTCAGATAAGTGAGATTATATGGTATTTGTCTTTCTCTATTTGACTTATTTCACTTAGCATAATACCTTTCAGGTCCATCTATGTTGTCCCAAATGGTAAGATTTCATTCTTCCTTATGGCCGAGTAATATTTCGTGGTATATACATAGAACAATTCCTTTACCCAGTTGTCTATTGATGGGCACTTAAGTTCGTAACACAGGAGCCTCGGGTCTGGAATTTGCTCCTGGGTTTGTTTATCTGGAAAAACCACCAGAAGGACCAGAGGGGCGAGAAACACAGGTTATTAGGAGGCAGGGAAGCTTCCCAGCAGCTGGTTGGAGCTACTGGAAAAGTCTGCTGCTGACCAAGATCA